GACCACGTCACCAGGTAAGTCACTGTCAAGTCAGTTGTCGTTTTTTTCGAACCCGCTGGTTGGACGATATTGATCGGTCTTTTCTAGAACATGAACTTGTAGCCTTTGTAACTTTATCAACCTGAGACACCTGCTTTGTCTTGCGTGTGTGATGTACCACACTAGCAAAAAGTGTTGCAAGCCTTCGGTCCCCGTGGACCGTGTGATTTGGCTAATCGCCAATTGAGTTGCCGTCGTTCTCCCCCGGATCTGGCTCACCAGGTGGGTCTGTCACTCAGACACCATGCCTACTCGCAAAGACGTCCGGCCACATCCTGGACTGGCTTAGATTTCCTGCCCTGACTGCACTCCGTTGGGTCACACAGCATTCGCCCTTTTGCAGTCGTTCGGCTGCCGATGATATTTTAGCCCATCTCACGAGAAGGAGGGAGAGAACGCAGCGCATGCAGGAGGTTTATCAACCTCAGTATTTTGACCTTTCAGATCATGTATGTTTGCAGGTCAAGACCAGTGTCCATGTCAGAAAACGGTGTCGCACTTGGTAACACACAGGATCCCGACAACAAGTCTTCATCACTTGTCAGTGAGCCCAAAACACAAACTCACCTATACAGGTAAACGATATGACCAACCAGCCAACAGTACAGGTCGGACAGTCAGGAAGAACGGCTTCAGGGTAACTGCACCTGAAAGAGCTTCCAGAAAGGGTGCTAATCTCTGAGATTTACTAATGGAAAAGCGTATTTTGGTGTTTGCTCCTATTGCGGTACAACAGTGAGCTTAACTAATGTCTTATGTTTATTCGGTTTTCGGGCGTTCGCAGACTTCCCAGGGATGTCATTCTGTGCTCGATGCGTCCGTCCTGGAGCAGTATTCTTCAGCAGTTAAACAGATACTCGAGATGTGTAGTTTGGAAGTCGGAAGTCTTGTGCTTTAAAAACTGTGACGAGTCTGACGTGGATAGTTTGAGTGGCACGCTTCTTCGGCAAGCTCATCGATCGCAGCCTGACTGAGCTCGATCGCAGTGAATATTACTTTGGAATCCAAACTACAGGGAGGGAGTTAGGAGTTTTGATCGAATTTATCGATTACCGGGTTCGATCGACATGTAATCAGTCTCTCATCCCATCACGATATTGGCTGAAAACATGCTATCGCTCATATTCGCAGCAAACAGTTCTCGTGAAAGATTCCTCAATCTCTGTGCTGCAAAAAGTGGACAGTCTACAACAGCATGTTCACGAAGATATTACGCTAGAACTTGCCTAGGTATGTGTGGTCTACGATAGGCATGTATGTTTGACTAAACCGTTAGATTTGGAAAGATTTAGCGAAAGTCCAACACAAGCAAAATCATTGCGTCTCGAAGTAAATGGCTAATCGTCATCCGGAATAACTATCAAGCGAAATAGGGAATTCCATCGAAAAGTGGATTTCGCAAATTTAGAAAGTTTGGGACAGAGAGGGTATAGTTTAATCGAATGGAAAACATCGTAGTACCGGTTTCACAGGATGCCTACTGGTAACCTTCTTACCTCTACATTGTTCAGGGCGTCATGGTTGGTATGGGACAGAAGGATAGCTACGTTGGTGATGAAGCCCAGTCCAAACGAGGTATCCTCACCCTCAAATACCCAATCGAACACGGCATCGTGACCAACTGGGATGATATGGAGAAGATCTGGCACCATGCGTTCTACAATGAGTTGAGAATCGCACCTGAGGAACACCCCATTCTGCTCACCGAAGCCCCGTTGAATCCGAAGGCCAACCGAGAGAAGATGACACAGATCATGTTCGAAACATTCAACTCACCAGCCATGTATGTGGGCATCCAGGCTGTGCTGTCCCTGTACGCGTCGGGTCGTACGACCGGTATCGTGCTGGACTCTGGTGACGGTGTCACACACGCAGTCCCAATCTATGAGGGTTACGCGCTTCCTCACGCCATCCTCCGTCTCGATCTGGCTGGTCGTGATCTGACTGACTACCTGATGAAAATCCTGACCGAGCGTGGTTACAGTTTCACGACAACGGCCGAGCGAGAAATCGTGCGTGATATCAAGGAGAAGTTGTGCTACGTGGCTCTGGACTTCGAGCAGGAGATGGCGACCGCGGCATCGAGCTCCTCACTGGAGAAGAGCTACGAACTGCCTGATGGTCAGGTGATCACGATTGGTAACGAGCGGTTCCGTTGTCCCGAGGCTCTGTTCCAACCGAGCTTCTTGGGTATGGAATCTTCGTTGCCCCACCGGAGCGTAAATACTCGGTTTGGATTGGTGGTTCGATCTTGGCTTCGTTGTCCACGTTCCAACAGATGTGGATCTCGAAACAGGAATACGACGAGTCTGGTCCAGGTATCGTGCACCGCAAATGCTTCTAACTTATTCATATTCGTTTAGTTTACTATCTGGAAGTATTCATCCTGTTATTCAATGCTGCATGCTCTCAATAAACTCTATTTATCAGTGTGCCTCAAAGTGTCTCTTGTAACTGTAATGGATGCTCTTGACCGGTGACCTGGTTAGCATGTAAGGTTTTCAGCGGCTATTGATGAAGACCGAATATCGCACCATAGGGATGCATTCAAGGAGATGCTGTAGTTTTTTGTCTGCTGTCCGCTGAAGAAAGAAGTGTTTCTGTTTATAGAACTATGTCGAACTTACGGAACTGGTTAAATGCCCTTCCCGAGTTTTCAAGGCACTCACAAATCAGGTAACGTAACGACTGTTAGGATTTTATAAAGGAAATTACTCACAAGGTTGCTTAAAACTCTTCGACAGCCCACGACCGGTTTCGCCCTTCTTGGGGCTCATCAGGTAGGCACAGCTTTCAGCAAACTTGTGAGGAGTTTCCTTTATGAAAATATACTGCGATATCTCGAATATCGTGGCAACTGAAACATGAGGCGGCCTGTGTGCAGCGAATTCAGTTGTAGAATATCATAAACGAGAGATTCAGTTGAGTCTCTCGTGGAAACTAAATTGGTTTGCAAATGAGTGCATTTCTCGAAAACGGTCCAATTTGGATTGAAGTAGAACATATGGTTGACGGAGACTCGGGGACTACGCCTACGTGATGGGCTCCAAGAAGGGCGAAACCGGTCATGGGCTGTCCAAGAGTTTTCAGCAACCTTGTAAGTAGTTTCCTTTGTGAAAATATGCTTCCGCATCTCGAAGATCGTACCAATGGGAACATGAAGCCACCTGTATGCAGGACATTCAGTTGAAGAACATCATTAAAGAGTGATTCATTTGAGTCTTTCGTGAAAACCAAACTGATTTGCAAATGAGTGGGTTCCTCGAAAATTGTTAGGACTGTTCGACTGAATTTGAAATATGAATACAAGGGCAGTCATACAGTACCTGACTATGAGTGAGTAAAGTTTACTTTAGAAGCTCTGAGAGGGTGAGGGGAAGTGAAAATCTGGAGCAATGACTCATAAACGCAATGGACAGAGCCAAGGAAACTGTCACTAGAGCTTTGGATGCGGGGTTAGGGACGGGAGAAATAACCCGTTTCCTGTTGGAGTACATCTATTTTCTGAACCCGGTTGGCCGATGCTGAGGACAGCTAACCGGTTTTGCGTTATGCCCAGATTATCCTGTTTGGTATTTGGTTCCCTGAAATGGTATGTGTGTGGGGTCGGTAATGGGTCTAAACGTTGGCAGCACATATGCGTTCATTTGTGCTCAATTGCTTCTGTTTATATGCAGGGTAAATATCGCAAGTAACTAACAAACATCTTGTCATTATTAGCAGAGGACGATGCAAACCGTGAGTACGACAAAAGACCACCGTGTGACATCCATACTGTGTCGTATTTTATACAGTAGCCGAGACCCCTTGGGCGCAATTCAGTCAATCGATGGTCCAGTCAATCATCTCACTCGTCTACCGACAGTCACGTGACAGTCTAGCTGGCATGGTCGCATTCAGTGAGCAGCACAGACCTTCATATCGAAACTTCGATTAATTTAGTAGATGAATTAATTCGATCAGGAGGGACTATCCATCAATGCAAGGGTGTGTTGCATACTAATGGCGATGAACATATGCAAGGGCACAACGAGTCGCCAGCTATCAATCACGCAATCTGGCACCACTTGTGAATAGTTTTGACAAAAATTGATCGCCTTATTCCAAGCATTCAGTAGCTGGATACGCAGTTCCTTCACAACTAAGCCATTCACCCCAAAGTCTGCCCAAACCACTTGTTTGTATCCTCTTATGTCCAGCACAAATCTTGGAAGGTCGCAAGTAAGTTCGGAAGGAGGAAGATAACAGCGGTGCACGTGTGTTCACAATTTCTAGGGTCACAATTCAGAGTCTTCGTCTGCTCTCCGAAACTTGTACAACACAGTCGGGGACAAAGTGATTTGCATTCAGTACAATCCACATCCTGACAAGGCGAATGGATGTACTTCCCCTGCTTTGTATATTTGATTCTCGCTTCCGGCAACGACTATTGAATCGGAATACCTGAAATGAAACACTGACGCCTCACTATCGTGCAACCCCATTTTATTGGAAGGTCGTATTTTGAAGAAAAGAGGAAAAGTGGATGGGGAAGGGATTTCGTGTCATCGATCAATTGGAAGCCATTGTTTTAGAAGGGCATAGTGGACTTGGTAAAACGTACGGATTTCGTGTTAGCGTACACCTCCATACACTTATCCGGGCAATGTGGATAGAAACTGATACCAAGAACACCACTGACATCGATTAGAAGCCATGTTTTGCAGCGTTACAAGCAATGCACATGAAGAATTACGTGTGCCCAAGACGAGCGGCACCAACAGACCCGGACGTTTCGTACATATGCCTCTGCTAGATCAAAGACCGACCATCTCTCTGCTTTGACCACTCCGAAATAAACAGAAAAACAGCACCCACTTCGTCAAAAAATGGTTTGATATGCGCAATTCCTGACCTGAAGGATACAGCTTTTGCTGATGAATACATCCTCGATTGCACACTCGTTTTCTATTTGCCTCATTACGGGTTCACCGACACTAAACCACACGAGCTATTACTCTGAGACAACGGTGATCAGGGATCTGATCATCTCACAGTTCCGCTGCTTGAACAGGCCAAGTCTCGGAGCCGTACAACAAAACAGCCCATTCCGGAGCCTGGTACACTAGTTCTTTCAGATTCGGAGATATACTGGCTTGCCACTACAGATGTCTAAATTTAGCAAACGCCACCACAGTCTTGAAGATTCCCTCATTGATCTCATTTGGTACACTACAATCGGAACTAATGCAAGTTCCAACATATGCAGAACGCTTCACACCATCGAGGGCCTCTCCTTGGGTTGTAAACGACCTGTTGAATGACCGCTTATCCAGAAGCAGGATCTTACACGCTGTGGGTGCAAATGCATGTCAAGGGATCTGATGAATCTGGTCAGTTTGTCCAAAGGCACCTGCGCTTTATTCTCGTCAAAGAAGAAAACGATGCCGTCCGTGTTTCCCAGACCGACCGGGTTTTCGTTGTCAGCTGTTTAAACATCGGGCTTCTAGTGTTCACCTCATTGTCTCCCACATCACAAAACTAAATAAAAGTGGAGGGATTGGGTATCCTTGACGGATTCCACTTTGTTCACGGAAACTTTGAGAGAGTTCTCCGTATAGCCTCACGTTTGGAAGTATGAGAATACAAAGGACTGACTGTTCACAGACTTCCGGGACACTCCTTACCGAGCAATAGAAGACCAGGAGTACTAAACTATGGGTCACCTATCTGTAGGGTGTTGTTCTACAAGTGTGAATATTTGATCAACGCAGCCCCAAGCAGGCCGGATTCCCGCTTACTGCCCTCAAGTCCGTGTTTCACAAGCTACCCTAAACCGGCGGACGATGAGTGCTGCCAGAGTGGCATCAAGCTGATTCCCTCGTGATCATAACGCTCAACATGGGCTGCTTTTTTGAGAATTCGCACCATAATTAGTTCCTCGCAGTTGTCTGGGGGCAGGTCATCCAAAGGATCAGTGATTGACGAAGGTCGGCCTGAGTGAGTAGACCCTAGATCAGCCCACGGACGCACAACAGTTTTACACTTCCAACCTCAGCGGACTTTCACTCACAACGCACTGATGATATCACCTCGGTTGGTGATGAAACGTTTGCAATAAAAATTGACCAGATCAGCGAATAAACCAACGATCCTCATTGCCAACTTAGGTATCACTATTCTCTCCATTTACGAAGAGGAGAAACTGTTTGTTCTCAACAATAGTCGGACTGATCAGGGAAGTGTGAATGACTGGACCTGAGTTCGCACAGATTCATCGATTCTCGCGTCCATTTACCTGATCCTATCTTCCAGATGACTGACTGGAAACGTGTGAAGCCCCCTCGAAGGGAGTACCTGAATATCTTTTCCCAAAAAGGATTTTACGCTAAATCTGAAGCTCTCTCAGGACAGGTCTTTCTTGGAGGGTTTACTGTATCTGGCCGGATGAAACACAAAATATGAATCAAATCTCGAACGTGATTTCATCGTTGGCGCTGATTTTTAATTCTTGTACTCACACATACTTCAGCTGTTCCAACCGAAGCCTTTTGTCATTCCGGTCCATTTTATGCTGCTTGACCGACCCACTTGTTCCATCGGCACAAATTTACACCTGTGCTATTAATAGCAACCGAGGCATGTGTAGGCGTGTTCCGCTGACCTAAAATCAATGAGTTTCAAGGTCACGGAAATCTGAGCTCATGATACAGCCGCATTCATGAAGACAAAACAGCCACTCGATTCTTTAAGGCTTGCTTAGGTAGACATTGGACCACATGATCTAACACGGGAGACCGTACTTTTCTGGAGGGTTCGGTCATAAACCATCCTTAATCTCAGGTTTCTCTTGATCACCCGTGAATTTTGTAGCCCACACTCTGTCTGACAGCGTTACAAGTGGTCGTTGAGAGCGCCTCATCCACTCTCTCAAGCTAACTTGTTCAGTCGATAGTGTTGTGGCCGCCCACGCACAATAGTTTCCCTTCCAAAACCGTGCTCCCGCTCTAACCTCTTCAAGATTTCGTCAGAAGTTTCTCACCAATACGCCCTAATCAAATTCAACTCCTACACGAAGGAAACACGCTTCGCACTCCGTTTCGACGACTGAATTGAAATCGGTGTTTTTTGGCTTGAAGTAAGCATTCATGTGAGTTTGACCTCGATTGCGAGTCATTACTATCCATAAGATCGACGAAAACTTTGGACAGCCCCGCACCGACTTATCTCTTTTTGAGGCTCAGCAGATAGACCCAGTCCCAGAATTTTGCTCAAACTTATACATCGAAGTGTATGCACATTGTGATAAGTACTCGTTTACTGATTACATCGATGTTGCTAGACTATTCAGTAGAAGATAAGAGGAATCTTTCGACAAATACACTCATTTTCATAGAACTTTGTTTTTTCCCGGGGGACTCATTTGGAACTCAGAAGAACATCATCCAATTTCATCATTGTGTGGGTTCAATTAAAACACAAGTTTCGTGGGAATTCAGGGGCCGTGCCAACCTGATAAACCCCGAGGAGGGTGAAACCAGTCGCGGAGTTCAAAAGTTTTCAGCAACCTTGTGAGTAGTGTGTTACTTCCATAAAACAGGAATCTTTCTTTTTCAACCGGGTGTCAACTTAAACCGAGTCTTTCTTTGTAAATGAATTTTTATTGAAGCACGTGTGAAGTTTGATGTTCACGTCCAATATGACTCGTTCCACTAATGCTCCGAACTTGATCAGGACTCGGCAGAATAACTGTGCAAAATAACTGTGCAGAATAACTGTTCAAAACGTTGTTGATGTGAGCTTGACTTCCACAGATCCCGAAACCCATTCACAATTAATCAAAATTTGTCCAGGAAGTTTTAAGCGTCCGTGGCGCTCCCTGACTGGGAAGGTGTGACAGGTGGATCAATCGATCGACATAACTAGGACAGTTGCTGGGGCATCGGGCCAAATAATCAGATCGTCCAAACGTGAACACATTCGCCTCTGTTCAGACGCGATCATTCAGATGCGTCCTATGGTGTGGCTGTAACACGGATGCCCTGATGGGCTTGCCAGCGCGGCTAAACAGCGAAACTCGAGCCCAGTGCTTCCCCCCTCCAGCAGAATAACTGTGCTAGACCAGGACTGTTCAAACGAGAGTGAAGCGAATGTGAACTCCATAAAAAGGGTAGCCAGAAAGCCATCCGTAAGGACAACCAGTCGCATAGGCAGCAGCTTCGACAGGTGCAAAATCTACTTGTTGTTTGTTGAATTGGTGGAATTGTGGACAGACAGCAGGTTTCGACACATTTTGGATTTATAAACACAGACGTTTATCCACAGACATCCCACATCAAAGGAATGCTCGGAGAACTGACTTAGTGTCTGACTTACCTGAAGAATTCATGAAACAGAAACAGCCATAAAAGGAGGCTTGTTTCAATCCGGAAATGCTCCAGCTGATATCGATTACCTTGGAGAAGTCTCCTTGTCTTTTGCTGACGCCTATGCTTTTGTTATATCTGCTGATTCGCCGACCTGTGGTATCTGCTGTTAACCCGCTCCAGTGCCTACTGCCGGAGAAAAAAGACTCACAGAAGGGAACACAACAGCTATATTCCGAACAAGCGAGTTCGAGGGCGGGAGTGTGTGTGAGCGCGAGATCAAAAGTTACAGTGGCCCCATGCTATTTAAAGGGGACTTTCTGAAACTAATACAGGCTGTCTGATAGGTGTTAGTGAACACCCGTCAACATCGATCGTGCCTCTATGAAACGCCTGAACGCTGATCACATTCGGTCGTGCTTCTGTGGCGTGCATGAACACTCATCAGCTTTTGCTGAATTGATTGAATGATTGACTGGCCTGGATGCTTGCCGGCTTTCCTGTTGAGATTTCGGTGGAGCAGTAGGTTCCGGGTGTTCTGAGGATACTGTCGGGAATCTGACCTTTCTGATAGCTTTATTGCAGTTCGTTGGGAAGAATCGATCGGGTTCTTGTTACTTACCGTTCACCCTTGCAACACGTTGAATGTATAAAAAATGTCTCATAGCGTGCGTTAGATTTCCGGCCGGACAAACAACAGAACAATTAATGCTATCGAGGAGGGCATGCAACCATAAAACCCGGTAAAATCAACTCGTCATCTATCAATATCTAGAGTAATATCGGGGAACGCAAAGACAGTCTGTTGCCGTGCGTGGTCTTCATGTGGGGGAACACGTTCCCTCGCCAACACTGAAAAATGGCTTTGGTATATTTTATGTGATCTTGGCGGCTCGGTTGCGGAGTGCTGCGCGACGGAAAAATGCAATGTTTTTTCTATTTATCTATGAGGTCAAGTACTTTAAACCCAAAAATCCGAACCAGTTCAACCGGAATTTTTGAAATTCATTTGGGAGGGTAAGAATTGACCAACTATTGCTCTCCTCATCAGAACACTATCGGCCACGGCCATTGACCTGGCCGCGGATTTTCGTTCAACAAAGCGAGGGAGGCATGGAATTTGAGCAGCCGATTGTTCGCTTTTGGAGTTACTCAGTTTTGGTCGATTTTACTGAACCTTCTTTCTTTATCAGGTTTTATTGAGCTCCGTGATTCAGTAATGATCTGCACACCAATTCAAGGTAAAATCTGACTGCTGGAGCCTGGTGGAGGGAGGCCACAGGTTTTAGATTATCCCGGATTTTCTTGAGATGCGCACTGTTGATGATTCCCACTAAGGACGGGACAGCTGCACAGTGCTGTTCTTCGGTTCTTCAGCATTACCTGCAGGATGCAATGTCTGTTGAAGAAATAGCCAACTATCCTCACACATTCAACAATAAGCTTTCCTTTGGTGGACCAGGTAATAAGAACCCCTCGAAACATACACGCATACTTTCCCAACCAAACAACCGGTATTTTTTCTAGACTGTGATCGCTTTGCTTTACTTTTGGCTGGATTTTATTTCTCATCCTCAATCTTCATCCAAAAATGTTTGGAAATACAATGTTTGGTCGGTGTCGAACAGGACATGAGTCACACAAGTCACGTTTGTCTCAAACACCCACATGCCTGCTTATTACTGCCTACCTGTGCAGGTGGTGTGCACACTGAACGTGCCAATGATCGAAGGCAACAAACGAGCACACGACGGTTCAAGCGAAGTCATTTTTTGGTGGCTAGGTGAAGTGTCTCTACCTGCGCGCAGAAATTTTGACATTCTTGGGAGGGTAAGTAGTGTGTGGACCAAGCAGTCTGGAAAAGTTGACAAGCTAGAGAATCTTCGGTGTTCCTCATGATCTGAGGAAAATATTCGTCCTGGCCGCTGTTTTCGTTCAGTGACATGTCGTTCCAGTCAGTTGGAAATTAAACGTATTCAATTATTTTTGTGAAGTAGTTTTTAGATAAACTGTTCGGTAGCTCTGACAGGAAGCCAACGATCTGGTGCTTCCCGAAATACAATGACAGGCGAGAAATATCGTTTATCGATAAAATTATCAGACCTATATGAAGGGTTATCGATCCATCAGAACTCGGGGAGGTTGTCTGGCAATCATTCTGAAATGAGGTACATAGAATGTCACAGTGAAGATAAATGACTCATGGATGTTTTCCAACATCCATGGACTTTAGCTTGTGAGCAATCGTATAGACTTCCCTAGGTCAGTATTTTATTGATAGCTGTGTGTCAGAATGGGGACCAATTGGAACACAGTAACTATAATTGGAAATCCTCAACTAAAGCTTGAAAAGTCCAGAAACCGCGGGTTCGCTCCATCCATCCATGATCTTCTAATTCGCAAATTCCTGTCTTGACCAATGAGCTATTTTGCGTCGCATTTGGGGAGCTCTGCGCTCAGAATCCTGTCCTACTTTAGGGTCATGATCACAACTCGCTACTCCATTGTTGGCTGAACGGACGATCATATTCCAAGCACTTTTCAGTCACTAGTACCTAGAATTGCAACAATAACTAGTTCGCCAAATTGATGTGAAATGTTAAATAAATCGGTAAAAACAGTTTATCCCTGTAACAGTTTCACGGGAGGGTATCGAATAGACCTGCTAATCTTATTGCACATGTTTTATATAGCGAATAGTCTTAGGTTTATTCGGAGAAATTGGTGTATTGACACAAAGAAGCGTAAGAACAACTAGGTGAGGGAGACAATCCTGGTTGTTGGTGTATGAAGGTTGCTTGGGACTTCTCATGAGATACATTCGAAAGATGTCAAGGTTTCACACACACACACACACACACACACCGCTACGGTGTGAATCCACAGCTGGAGGTAGAAAAAGCATCTTTGACCCTTAACTAATTGGTGCTGGCGACCCTAATTTTCGTCACCTTCAGTGGTTTGACCTGCATGATACCTGCGAGGTATAAGAAATTGAATAAGACGTCTTTCACTAACAAGTCCTCGTAAAGATACTCCACTATGGTGAAAGGAAGAAGGCCTTCGTTGCGGAGTTGTTTATTAGAGAAACACCAACTGAACAGTTGCAGACTATTGGACAGGGGAGCAGAACTCTCATATGAATCTTATTTTATGAAAACTGAACATCGATCCTCTCCTTGAATCCGTCTTCCTGAAATTTCCTGGGTATTCATTGACTGCTACTCAAATGCGAGCAAATGCTACAAAGCGACTCCACATATTCCGCAATAGATCTCACTTTTCAAATGACGCGAAGCGGATTCACGAGGGAACATGCTACTCGCATGCTCCCATCAGTAGTAGCACTGTTACAATGGTAGTATATGTGAATGAGTAATCACAGTGGTCCGGTGTCTCTTGGTTCGAACTCCTGCTCACGCGGTAATCCTTTGAAAGGTCTAAAGGGCCTTCCATCGCTTGCTGATTACAGCTGAGTACCGATTTTTCCGAATGTGTACGGCTCCGACGTTGACGAAGTCACCATGAGGACTAAACCAAAGAAGTATATCCTGAAATCAGATATTTTCCGTAAGGTTAGGAGCCAACATTAACCTAGTTGTTGACAAGGATTGAAGATATATATGTGTATCTAGAATCTCCCAGGGGAATCTCCGTTTTTTTTTAAAAAAAATCTCCCCCATTGAAGAATTCCGAATCACAAAATACTCAAAAAAACAGTTTTACTTTAGCATACCCTTCGATTTCATTCCCAGGAAGGTGAATGAAACACAAGGTGTCCCATTTGCAAGTCTATCAATGACACTTGCCAAGTTTGACAAAACCGAGGGCTGGCATACAGGAAGTTTCTTATCAAAAAATTACGAAGATGGTTCAAAGTAAGGAACAAAAGTCCAATATGGTTACGGCAAAGTCAGGGGAATTCACTCCCAATACAAAGTTCTCCACTGACTGTAAACCAGTATCTCTGAAACTTGTGTTATAAGCAAGTCAGGAATAGGAATGTTTCAATAAAGATCCCGTTCGGCGCGTGAAGTCACTAGTACTTTTCTGTCTCTATCGGAAGCCATCAACAGCAGGGATCTGACAAATTTCCGGCGAGATTCGAACACGCAGTCTGTCGGCTAGTAATCGAAGTCGTTCACTCAACAAGGTTTTTATGATTCACTCCCGGGGTCAATGTAAACCGAACGACCTGGTGTTTCTCATAACTCGTACCCCGAGGTTTAACCGTATAGATGAGTTTCGACCGAATTAGTTTTGCTCACTTCATCACAGATCCCTTTGTGTGTGAATGATGTTCAGCCACTAAAAGGAGTAGGTTTTGTTGCTCCAGTCATTCTGTCATGGAGTATTTGTCGGCTGTGGGCCGGTGTTCACTCTCAAACTGAGTTCGAACCCTGGGTGACATCGGTCATGACAACGCATCCCTCAGAGAGTAGATCTTCAGACGAAACTGGTAAAGGTAACATGAAGCACACATAATATTCAGTGTCTGTGTGGATCACGTCCCACTGTGTGTGTGTGTGTGTGAACCAGCTAACCTATTATTTTTGGAGATGGTATTCAAACCATTCTCTCACAGCATAGTGTATTTGGACTACGAAAAATTTCTGGCGCTGCACACCGACTGACATCTGTGTGAACGTCTATCTTCGGGAATATTGAAGCATGTTAGAGATTGTGACAGACATAGCACCAAATTCACGTGACTCGTCGTTAGTGAGTTGATCCAACAAGTTTGTAGTTCCATCCCGAGGGCACCAGTTGTCTGTGCGTGTGTTGGTTGGCTGATTGACGTTCACATTGAATGTCTTGGTGTTCAGCGAGGTATTCGGAAGTCGACTCAACTTTTGTTGGTACGTTCAAGCGTTGTGAATAGGCATCCACGAAGTCCATAGCACAGCCAAAATTGATGTCTACTCGAAGACATCAAAAATTAGCCCTTTACATGGTTGGAGCCAATTTAGTTCGCCTCAGTCAATGAACAAGCCTATGTTAAGACATAGCAACGCTTGTGAGCAACTCGAAATGAACAGGGACTTTGTCATCTGCACTACGAATGAACTAATACCAACGGACATTTTACCATCAGACAGAAGGAGCCGGTGTTGAATCATATCTGATTCATCCATGGTCACGCTAGAAGGTGCTACACTGAACCCGGTGATGCCTTCGGAAGCTTTACGAACCATCTGTAGATGATGCTTCATTAGTTTGTGATTGAATCACTGTTCCGATGCTTACTTTGAGAGCATTTAAACAAACCCACCTATGCGTTATGTTCACTTGTGAAAATCAGCGCGATATACTACTGACCCGTCGCGCAGACAGACAGACGTCGTGTCTACAGAAAGCCAACTTGGAGAGGTCACTGAACCCGGTGTTCGTTTCGATTAGCGTGAACGCGAATCTAGTGTGATGCCTTCTCAGCATGACGACGGAATATGCATTGAAGCAGGGTTTTGAACCACTCTTAAACACCCTGATAGATTCTTTGGAAGGACTGCGAAGCCGAATAAAACGACCATATTTACACGGAAGCATGTCCTGGCGCGTCTGTCATACTGAGGAGACAAAGTCAGGTAGATGTGCATTCAGAGGTGTAGTAAAATGCTGAAATACATAGATTGCACAACTGGTTGACGCACACTTTTCACCGGACAACCGCTGAAGGACGGATGTCCTCATCAGGCCACTTCTGTCTGTTTGCCTGATGCTGTGGGGCTAGGCCGATCGACACGACCGGATGGTCTGGACATCCTGGCTGGCGAACGGCCTAGTATGACACATGAACAGCTCGTCTTTGGCCCATCTGGGTGATGTTGGAGTAGTAACTTGACAGCATGCGGCTGATTAAGCGAATCCATTTGATTGTGTGGTTTAGCACACGTGGCTGTTTACGTGCTCCTGACTGAGGGTAGTCACGTGCAAAGGCGATACGGGACACATAAACCGACTCAGATTTGACTTGACACTAAAGCTTCGGATGTACAACAAGAAATTCCAAATTGTGTATAAAATTTTTCCAACTGTTTTAGACTAAATCATGGGCAAACTTTGGCATTTGTAAGGTCGTTCAGTATTGGTCGGAGCTAGTTGCTGGGATGCCCCTTGCCACTGAAGAAGACGTTTCCCGTCAGAATCACAGACCTAATGTAATTTCACTCAAACACACAAAAAACAAGGCAATATCAGATTGTGATCAGTCGCATAAACGGTGATCGTGTGAAGTTAGCAGGACTTACAGCACGCAACGCGACCAGTTGAGCGTTATTCATCAAACTGAGTCACATACGGTCTACAACATCCAGTCCCCTGATCAGCTCGTGATGATACACACATGTTTGTGCCACATGAAGAGTGTCGTCTGGTAGTCGAACGTTAGCAAGAAATGAAATGGTTTCGTATACTACATTGCCACAGGCGTACAAGGTTATAGACTAGTTGGGTCACTGGAAAACAGCAACTTCCTTGAGAGCGAGGCGGCCAACAAACCCCGAACCTTAGCTTCGCATGATTCTGCCGTTGATTCCACGTTCTGAAGGTCGAATCCCAACAATAATTGGACAAACCCAATGTTCCACTCGAACCCACGCAAAACGAGCGCAACTGTTGTCTACCCCGCCCCCCCCCCAATGATATCAGGACAACTTTGCTGCTCTCTCTTGAAGGATTATTTCACATTTCGTTGGACTGTTGGAACGATTTCATCCAGATTACTAAAACGCTATTGCGTGAAACGGTTGTTTTTTTCTGCGATTACACATTTGTTGGTTTAATACTTTGAGAGAATCACGCTCACAGAGCAGCGAATATTCGCTCTCGTTTTTGGGTGGTGATAATAGAAAAGAAAGTGTGCTATCATTTTGGGTATTGCACTTTACGAAAGCCCTACCGGTGATTTTCTTGGTGTTTCACTTATGAAAAATATAGCAGGTTATTTTTAATCACGTTCATTAGGTTGCCTTTCATTGGGCAGCGTCAAATAACACTTTGGCCGTCTTAGCTCGACTGCTCCAAGACTTAATGATAACACTTTGTCAGAAAGATTACAGTCCTGGAAGGAAGTTCAGGGCGTCCGAAGCCTACTGGGAACCGCCAAAATCACGTCATAAAATGGCCAGAAAAACCAGCTGCCTATTGGACGCTCAATCA